ATAAATAGGAGCAGGATAGTGTAGAATACTCATATCCAAGGACCAGTGGTGGGTTTCAAAAAATTTTGGAACCTTTTCTTCTGTAGGTGTGGCCTGCTTTCCGGGTCCACTGGTGGAACCTCTTCTAACCGGTTCGGTAGATTTGATGAACCGGTTCTACCGAATAGGTGCGAACTGGTAGGAACCCACCTCTGGAGTGGACTTGTAACTCTTCACAATCTGCAGTTCAAACACTCTCTTTTTAAAAAATAGCAATAGCACTTAGATTTACCATATTTTTCGGACAATAAGACGCACAGGTGTATAAGACGCACCATGATTTCGAAGAGGTAAGTAAGAAAAAAAAGTTTTAGTCCTCCTTGACCACCAGGAGCACTCTGTAGGCTTCAGCAGGCCTGGGGAAAGGCAAAAACGCCTCAATTTTTGTGAAAGAATTGTTGAAAATAGACCTTTTTTTGCAGAAACGGCATTTTTCCCTTCCCCCAGCCCTGCTGAAGCCTGCAAAGTGCTCCTGGGGACTGGGGGAATGGAAAAACGCCTCCAGTTTTGAAAAAAAAACAGCCCGTTTTTTGCAAAAATGGGATGCAGGGATGGGGCTTCAGGAGGCCAAAAATGGCTGTATTCGGTATATAAGATGCACCAACATTTCCATGCTCTTTTTGGGGGGGAGGTGCATTTTATAATCTGAAAAATACGGTATATACCACTTCCAGTGCTTTGCAGCCCTCTTAGCGGTTTACAGAGTCAGCATATTGCCCCACAACGATTTGGGTCTCATTTTGCCCACTCAGAAGGGTGGAAGGCTGAGTCAACCTTGAGGCGCTGAGAATCAAACTGGATGAAACACGCACCACAAACTTTCCATTAAGGCGCTTCCTGAAGTAAGTCAATAGCAACAGTCTTGCAAGGTAGTCTGGGCTGAGAGAAAGTGACTGGGCTAAAATCATTTTAGCCTTGAACATGGCTCTCCCCACTCCAAAGTCACTCCATCATACTGCTCTCCTTCGAATAATCCAGGAATGAGAAACATTGTTTTGACAACATTCATATGCTCTTGGAGTCATCTGTCTGGGTGGATTGAACATGATCCCATCAACATGATCGGTACTCAAAGGAAATTGGATCTTTTCATGTTCTGATGTTCTTTTTTATTTCTTTCCTTTTTAAATTTTTTTAAAAAAGATAAACAAAATATATAAAACATACAACCTTCAACTGTTTCACATAGCGTGTCGTTTGGTTACAGGTTTTTGTGCATCTCCATTCTCACCACTTACAATTGTATATCAAATCACAAATTATCCATTGATGATTTTCTTTTTTCCTTGCTCCTTGGTGTTCCATGGACACCAAGAGCGTAATTTGACCACAGAGCAGAATTTTTCAAATTAACGTGTATGGATGTTAACTTCCAGAATGTTGCGGGTTCCATCCTAGACGAGAATGAAATTCTGTAATCTCCCTTTCTGAGAGTTGTAGGCAATAGGGAAGTGCAGTTTTCTATTTTATTTTTTAAGTGTCCTTTTTAGGAAAGGCTGTAAAGAAAGAATATAAACAAAAAATGTGTAAAATGAATAAAATGTAGAATGCAAAGAGTGGACCACGGGGAAGCAATAGAATAGAAGAATTACTATTTTCCAATAACCGATACAATTATAATAAACCCATTTCTTTAAAGAAAAAGAAAATCCCTATTAAACTATAAAATGTCTGCTTATTATGGCATAATTCATCAACTTAAACTGTAAAATACAATGAAATGAATCAAAACTAGAAATCTAATTTTCCAGAAAGCTGAGTTATAGACCCAATGTAGAAAAATCTAATTTGTGGTATAGTACAGAACCACGTGCTCAATTATACTCAAGGAATTGTTTCCAATTAGGATTTAATGTTATGTTGAATTTATTTTTTAATCGTAGTTGATGCTTTAAGGCGCTGTTTATCAAACTTGGAAACTAAGACACATGAACTTCAACTCCCCAAATTCCCAAGCCTGCATTCATCTCAAAGTTGCCAAGTTTTAGAAACACTAATTTAAGGAGTTAGAGGCCCCCCAAAAGGTCTGTTTTTTTCTTCCAAATGTTGGCTCTGGTTCTCACGTTACTGATATGATCAGAATATCTATGGAGATTCTCAGTCATCCAGGCCACGGTTGCCCCAAAAGTGTTTTTTTCAAGAAGTAACTGGACTTTCTGGTTTTTCTTGAAGGAGCTTCTTCAGCTTGGATGAGAAGCAAAGCGTCTTCAAAGAAAAAATAGAAAGTCCAGTTGCTTCTGGAAAAAAGCACTTTTGGGGCAGATATGAAGTTGGATTCTGCATGGTTGGTACTCTTGGGGAATGGATGTTCTGGACACATGGCTTCTCCTCTGGCCACTGAATACTGACCTCTGTAGCAGGGGTAGGTTTCTGCCAGTGTTACTGCCGAATCGCTCCACGCACATGTGCCTTTAAATAGGCCTGCACATGCGCAGAATATTAAAAATGTAGGGGGGAAAAGTGACTGGGGAACCGGTTCGGGGATGTGGCAAGCCTGCCTTCCCTACCAGTTCCACCATTTCCACTACCGGTTCTCCTGAACTGGTGCGAGCCGGTAGCAACCCACCTCTGCTCTGTAGCCTGGTAAGTCCCTGGGGTTGCAGGGGAGATGTCAGCCTCTGCTTTGCTATTTGCTTTCGGCTGTCATTGAAACGGGGAGGGGGAGGCATGGTATTTGCGAGGGGAGGTTTTAAGTGCAGGAGTGATTGTAAAAAGGGAGTTTTGTTCTCACCATCTACCGCACATGCTGCAGATAGTGGATTTACCTGCCAAGGCCAACTGTCCGGCATACCAACCTGATGATGCTTTTCGAAGATGGAACCCACATGACACCTGAGGGTTGTGCGGATTGGACTATGGGATGGGGTTACCAGGGGGA